TCTTTCTTTCTTTCTTTCTTTCTTTCTTTCTTTCTTTCTTTCTTTCTACCTACCTACCTACCTACTTACCTCTATCATGTTATCTCTTTCTGTTTATTATCTTTCTAATCTATCTATCTATCTATCTATCTATCTATCTATCTATCTATCTATCTCTATCCATCCATCCAGCCAGCCATATCACCTATCTTAATTCTATTTAAATCTATCTATTAGAATTCAGTATTGTAGGCTAATTCAGCTCACTGCCAGAAGTTCGATTCTGACTGGAAGCCTTCTCTCCTTCCGAGGTTGGTAAAACGAGACCCAGATTGTTGGGGGCAATAGGCTGACCTTGTAAACCGCTTAGAGAGGGCTGTAAAGCACTATTAAGCAATATATAAATTCAAATAATAATGATAATATAAGTCTTAAGTGCTATTGAAATTGACCCAGACTCATTCCGAGGTGGGTAAAATGGGGACCCAGATTGTTGGGGGCCATATGACTTACAATAGCACTTAAGAAGACTTATACAATATATAAGTCTTAAGTGCTATTGCTATTTGTAACCTTCTCAAACCAAAGTCAGTAGGGGAAGCTGGATCCGCTTAAGGGCTGCAGGGTTCACTTAACAACGGCAGGGATTCAATTAAACCACCGCGGCCAAAAGATTATAGAATGGGGTCAAGGCCCAAAAAATCCCCGCTGCCTTGCTTAAGAACGGAAATCTGGGGGCTCCGTTGCACCCTTATGCCGAGGACTCGCCGTATCCGGGTGTGTTTTCTGGGAATGTTCCTCTCTGTTGGAGGCACCCATATAACCCGGATGGCATCAGGTCTCCTGCTGGAGGCAGGGGGTTGGGCTAGATGACCTCTGAAGTCCCTTCCAGCCCCGGATTTGCCGGGCCGTGCTGTTCTATCCCAGCACCGGAGGGAAAATCGGCATTTCTCACACACGCCCCGCCTTCTAAACCGGAGAGAAGGCGCGGCTGTCACCGGGCGCACCGCCCAATCCGAGCCGCCGGCGCTCACGTGGACCCAGGATACGCGCGGGGGAGGCGGGGAGGAGCCGAGCCGGAGCTCGGCCAAGGCAATCGGCTTGCCGGGAAAGAGGACGGACTCTCTAGCCGGGCTTGGCGGTACGTGCAGGGAGGGCCCCCTCCGGGTGGACTGGGGCGGGTGGTGGTGGAAGCGGGACGGGGTCCCGGATCGCTTCTCCAAGCCCTCGGCGGCCTGGCTTGGCTTGGCTTGGCTTGGCGGGGCGGGGGACGGACGGTCAAGAAGCAGCCGAAGCAGCCCCGCAGTGGCTTCGGGGCTCCGTTGCTTCGCGCGGGGCCGCCCTTGGCTTGCGCGCTCCCAACGGTGCGCTCCCCGCGGAGAGCGCACGGGCTTTGGAGAGGCTGCGCGCGGGGCGCGGGGGGAGCGCCGGTGGGCAGGTGCAGAGGCCGGCAGGTAGGTGGGGAGGGGCATCTCCAGCGAGGCCGCCCTGTGGCGGGGAATTTGGGGCGGGGGGGGGGAGATTCAAGCCACCACCCCCCACCCCACCCCAGTGCCCGTTCTGCTTTGTGACAAGGGAATATATTGCTCAACCGGCACCTTAGAGGCTGGTTCGCCTTATGGGAACCTCTCGCGGTCTTCTGGAGAGAAGGGGTACAAGCTGGATCCAGATGCGCGGTGGCTTTGTGTGTGTGCGTGTGTGTTCTCCCCCCCCCCGCGCCTTTCTCTCTCTCCCCCCCACACGCACTCCCCAAAGCTGCCTCTTTGTCTTAGGTTGGCACCAAAGGCCATAAAATCATTGGGATCAGGAGAGTAGTAGCCAAGGGTAGCCAAGGGTCCATTTGGACAAACAAACAAACAAATAAATCCATCCCACCTAACTGCCTTTAAAACAACCTCCATAACCTCGGACCTGTTTATATCCTGCGGGTTTTTTTAAAAAAAGAAAAAAGAAACAAGGGAAAAGAAAATGTATTTATTTATTTATTTTGTCAAAAGCTTACAATACAATAGAAATAAGAATAAACATAAGTTTAAATAGAAGAAATAGGAATTAATAATTGGGGACAATAGGAGAGGGACCGTAGGCACGATTGTGCGCTTATGTACGCCCCTTAATTTGTAATTGTGTGTGTGTGTGTGTGTGTGTGTGTGTGTGTGTGTGTGTTGTGGTTGAAACTGCCCAGAATCACTGAGAGTGAGTGGGCAGCCATATGAATTCAAATAAATAAATAAATATTGGGAGATATATAGACACCTTTAAATTCTCATAAATTAAATACATAAATACATAGAAACCTTTAAATTCTCATAAATAAATAAATAAACAAATACTGGGAGATATATAGAAACCTTTCCCGAAACTTCCCTTTGACTATTTGCAATATTTGGCATTTCTGTTCAGCAGATAGCGTGTGTCACCTGTGCGTTCATTTTCTTAGCTATGCCAACCTTTAGAATGCATGAAGCAGTCCCTCTGTATATGCCTCTATATAGGTACTCCTCAATCCGCCACCCTTCATAATGGCAACCGTTCAAAGTTACAACGGCACTGCAGAAAGTGACTTAATGCCTGGTCCTTGCACTTACAACCAGTCCTTGTACTTATAACTGTTGCAATATCCCCAGGATCACAGGATCCAAATCCATGTGGTTGGTGTTGCTGCAATGTCTACAAGAAAAAAATTGGTTACAGAACTATAGCTGTCAATTTGTGCCAATTTCTGGAGATAGAACAATCTTTGGAAAATGATATTTACATGCATACTTATTGGCTTTCCACTCATACAAACCAGGGAGTGACCCTAACTGTTTGAGAGCAGGTATTTTCTTAACAGGGATGTTATTATCCAGTATTAATGTACTATAATGTGTCAGTAGTATTTTTTTATATATCTTGTAAATAGTGATGTCTGTTGCTAGTCTAAGACAGTAATAAAGTTCTATTCTATTCTGTTCTTCTATTCTAAACCCATGTGGTTGGCAACCATCACGAATTTAAACTCTTGCAATGTCCCGGAATCACATTGCCACCTTCCCAGCTGGCTTCTAACCAGCAAAGTCGATTGGGCGGAAAAACAAGTCGCTGAAAGAACATGTGACTCACTTAATAACTGCAATGGTTTGCTGAACATCCATGTCTAAGAAATGTTGCAAAATGAGACAGGACTCACTTGTCCCAATTGCGGCCATAAGTCAAAGACTTATGTATTCTATAGCAGTGGTCGCCAACCAGTGAGCCGGGGACCACTGGTGGTCCGTGAGAAAATTTGGGTGATCCGCAGAGAAATGTCACTCCCAAAGCAATTAATCCAGGCTGCGCGGGAACACAAAGCTATGCCGCCCACATGGCCCGTGGGAACACAAGGCTTGTGTCGCTTGCATTGCAAACAACATGAGGTAGTGAGGGGAGGGGGGGAAAGGGCGGAGGGGGGGAACTTGCCCTACTCACCCCACACACCTGGCCTGGCCACTGGGCTGCTTCTTTCTGCTTCTTTCTTCTGCTTTTGGCTGCACGCAAGGAAAACAGCAAAAGTCTTTCTTTCTCTCCCCCAAACTCCGCCAGAAAAGAGTCTTTGGAACCCTGCAAGGCCTCCTGCTCCAAGAGGCTGCACCAGCGCAACAAGTCTCACAAAGACTCATTTGGGGGAGAGAAAGAAAGACTTCTGCTGCTTCTGCTGCTTTCCTTGCATGAAGCTAAAAGTCTCTCTCTCTCTCTCTCCCCCTGAGAACGGAGCTGGAGGCAGTATCCTGCGATCCCAAATAAAGAATGGTCAATCGGGAGGAAATGAGGTGGTGGATTTTCCTGCAGACTTTTGGGGGGATTTTCCCAGTCTCTCTGGTCCACGGGATTTAAAATTATGAGTTTGTGCTTTCTGCAGAGACACTGGGAAAACATCAGCAAGCCACTGTCTGTCAAAATTCACATTAGTAGTCTGCGGGATTTAAAATTATGAGTTTGGTGGTCCCTGAGGTCCAAAAGGTCGGTGAGCCCTGTTCTATAGCAGGGGTCTCCCACCGTGGCAACTTTAAGCCTGGAGGACTTCAACTCCCAGAATTCCCCAGCCAGCAAAGCTTTTTTTTTTTTTAAATGCCTATAGAACAAGGTCTCCCACCTTGGCAACTTTGAGACTGGAGGACTTTAATTCCAGTCTTAAAGTTGCCAAGGTGGGAGACCCCTGTTTTATAGGCATGTTAAAAACGATAAGCAGTAGCACAAGATTATTCTTGATGAATGGAGCAGACCTTTTTGGCCTGGTCTAATTATCTGCGCCGTTTTGTTGCCCTCTTAACAGGCTACCACCCCACTGTCACCCTGGCGCTGCGTTGTTTGGACGGCGTGTTCCTTTCTCCTATGGAGAATGACTTCGTCGACAAAATCATGGAGGAACTGGACCACTTCCTGATACAGAACCAGCTGGAAAAGTAAGACGCTTCTCTCTCGTTGCCTCAACCCAATGGGAGACTTGGTCGGTCTGCCTGTCTGGCTGCAGAGCCTTTTCCGGTAGAAAAGCCATGAGTTCTTTTTAAAAGGGATTATTAAATTGTAAGATTCGTGAAATTTAGCTCTGCTTTTCCTTAAGAGATTTTTCTAAAGTGAGGCTGTGCATGAAATGTTCTTCTCCTACCAAACTTGGGTTTTGCTTCTGATTTGCATGGCTTGTATATTTTTAAAAAAATCTTATTTTTATTTATTTGTATCCCACCTTTATTATTTTTACACAAGGCAGCAGGCATATCCAACTCATCTTTCTTCTCTGTTTCACACAACAACCACCCTGTGAGGTGGGTTGGGCTGAGAGAGTGAGTGACTGGCCCAAAGTCACCAAGCTGGCTTTCACGGTGAAGGTGGGACTTGAACTTGTGATCTCCTGCTTTCTAACCTGGTGCATTAACCACTAGACCAAACTGGGTTTCTTTCTCTCTTATTGTGGCTGCTAAATTGTCCCTTTCTTAAATAAAAAAATAAAGGAGTTCTTGCGGATTTTACTTTGCTAATTGTTGCCAACTATAGTGGGAGAGGGGCGCGGTGCTCATGTCTGTTTCAAGGCCATTGAGTTGTCTGAAGACATTTCTGCGTCCAAGCGACCCTCTGTTAGCTTCCCACCCAAAGTGGTACCTATTTATCTACTCGCATTTGCATACTTTTTGAAAGTGGTGCGGTGGCCTAGAGGTGGCACTCTCACCGCACAGTCAGAAAGCTGTGAATTGGTTCCTAGGTAGAGGCAGATATTTCTCTCTCTTGGCACGATGAGAATGTATTTGCTGAATAGAACTCCGCATTGGCAACAGGAAGGGCATCCGGCCAGTAAACACTCAGCTCCATCCAGTTGCCCAGACTCCACCCCGCAAGGGATTAGGGGGTGGTTAAAAGAAAAAAAAATGATGATTTGCATGCTTTTCGAACTGCTAGGTTGGCAGGAGCTGGAGCGAGGACAGGAACTCACCTTGTCTTGTGGCGTTTGGGGTCTCGAACACGGGCTGCTGGCTTTCTAGCTGACAAGCTCAGCGTCTAAACCGCTGAGCCGCCACCGCGCTGCGTTTTCTTGAGAGCAGCTGATTTTATTCTGTGTCTTCCTTCCTTGCAGAGTCCTCTTGTTTCCTCCTCTGTCTAGTCGCCTGAGATACTTGATCCACCGAACCGTTGACGACGTTGAGCTCCTGAGCAGTTTTTCTGTCGGAGAAGGATGGAGGAGGAGGACGGTGGTCTGTCATGCGGCAGTCAGGTGGGAGGCTCCCGTGTTTTAATTTAGCATAGTTTACTTTATTGTCATTGCACATTGTACAGTGAAATTAAATAACATCTTCAGTGTGCATCATGACCATGAAAATAAACACAAACACACATCCTTCGCAGAGAGAGAAACAACATGTCAGGGAAAGTCATGGAATTTGCTGATTCAGACAAAAATAATAATTCTATATCGAAGGACTCCAATGAATTATTTTGTGCTGGTTATTTAGTTCTTAGTTTACTATATTGTCATTGCACCTCGTACAATGAAATCAAACACCATCTTCAGTATACATCATGACATCACCATGAAAATAAACACAAACACACATCCTTCACCCTCCACACATTGAATTGAAAATCCCTGACCCCACACCAACACTGCACTATACAGTAGAGCTACTGCCCTGGGATAGAACCTGTTTTTCAGCCTCTTTGTCCTTGTTTTTATTGTCCTGTACCATCTGCCAGATGGTAATAGTTCAAAAATAAGGGATGCCCAGGATGAAATGGATCTTTGAGGATGTTTTGAACTTTCTTAAGGCAGCGAGAGCTATAAAGCTCTTCCAAAGAGGGGAGAGGGCAGCCCATGATCTTCTGGGCAATGACGTTAACCCTCTGGAGTGCTTTCCTATCTGCCCCTATGCAATTGGCAAACCATATAAAGGTGCAGTAAGTTAAGATACTCTCTATAGTGCAGCGGTAGAAGGTCACCAGCAGTTTTTCATTCAGTTGTTTGTTTCCTGAGAAGTCTCAGTTAGTATAATAACGGCTGACTTTCGGCGCTTGGGACTGAATAAGAGGTTTATGTAAAGAAGTAAAATTTAACTTACTGTTTTTTAAAATTAAATTAAAAATAAATGTGTTAAATTAAATGAACAGGAGGTTAAATTTAATTTTAAAAGCAACGAATTAAATGAAAAATAAATGAAGTGTATTAGGCTAAACGAATAAGAGATTTAGGATTTTGCTCAAGAGCCGATAACCTGCAGCATGAGCTTTATTTCAAGAAGAGGACCTGAAACATTTTATTCCCCTGAGCTTTCAATGTTTCAAAGCAACCTGCCCTCCAAATGTTAAAAGGTGTCTCAGATTTTTGGCAAGTGAGGGGTTCTTAAATTTCCCCAAAATGAGGCAGCACAGAAGCCATTTTGGGTTGGACTTGTAGACGTGTAGAATCATAGAATTGATAGGGCTAGAAGGGACCTCGGAGGTCTTCTCACCTGACCCCTTGCCCAAGGGAGGAGACCTGGGTATTTCATAACAGATCCCTCTTTTTTCCCTTTCACTTGCTGAAGAATAGGGACACGCATGATCTGTTCTGCTTTCACATACCCAATACATATTAGATTGAGAAAAAAAGCAGTAATCTGCAGTAACTGAATGTCCATTTTTCTATGAGACTCTGGAAAGATGGTGACCAGGGGTGAGCTTAAAAAGTTTTAGCAAAGGGTTCTCTGACCGGTTGCTGGGTGGGCATGGCCATGGTGGGCGTGGCCCATGGCAGGGAAGGGGCGTTTTTGCCCTCCACGGCCTCCAGAGGTTTTCCTCGAGCCTCCAGGAGGGCAAAAGCAACCCTCCCTGGCAGAGGCGGTATTCCGCAGGTTCTGACCAGTTCTGGAGAACCATTAGCGGAAATTTTGAGTAGTTCAAAGAACTGGCAAATCCCACCTCTAACTGGCCCCGCCCCCATCTATTCTCCGCCTCCCATTGAGTCCCAGCTGATTGGCTGGGTCTTCTTTGGTTGCCCTGCGCAGGAGAACGGAGCTGGAAAGCAGGCTAGTGGGGCGGGGAGGGAATGGGGATTTTACAGTATCCTTCCCCTGCCTTGACCACAAAGACACGCCCATCAAGCTATGCCCACAGAACCGGTAGTAAACAATTTTGAATCCCACCACTGCTCCCTGGGTTCCGGAGGCTCCCTGGAAGCAGGGTTGTTTCCGGCCTTCTCGAACTTCCGGGAGGCCCATTTTGGGCCCTTCCCGAGCCTCCATGCACACCCTGCATTTACCTGCATCTAAAACAGGTCTCCTGGGGTGGACTCCTGGGAGAGCAGGGTGGGGTGGGCGGGGCCAGCCAGGAGTGGGATTCTGGTGTTTTCCAAACTGCACAGAATCTTTATCTAGGGCAGGGGTGTCCAACCTTGGCAACTTTAAGACTTGTGTACTTTAACTCCCAGAATTCCTCAGCCAGCAAAGCTGGCTGAGGAATTCTGGGAGTTGAAGTCCACAAGTCTTAAAGTTGCCAAGGTTGGACACCCCTGATCTAGGGGCTCTCCTGAACCCCTGCGGCGCTCCAGCAGACCACCCCTGGTTGTGACTCAGGTCGCCACTATACAGCTAGCAGATACCACTGGGTTCTTTAATCAAGATAGACTCTGGATTCCGCCTTTGCATGGGGTAGTCAAAATCGGACGCATTTGGCCTCTGAGTTCTAAACCTGGACTGGCCTCATTTCTTGGCGTTTCCGATTCTTCTCTTGGATGTAGGTTGCCGGATGAGGTGGATTGCCCCAATGGTGCTGTTGAAGCTTCTCACTTCCACCACCCTCCCCATGCCAGAAGCAGAGGGAGCCGATCCAGAGGAGGCCCACGGCAGACGGAAGCCTTGGCCAACGGCCCCCAAGCCCGAAGAGGGAATGGCCGGGGTAGAAGGCAGCCGCCCAAGAAGCCAGACAGAGCTCTCTACGTCCCCAGGGCGATGCGGAAGAAGCTGGAGGACACGGGACAAGGTAGCTCCACGGAAGCCTTTGAGAGTGGATCGCATTGTATGAGCAGCAACAAGGAGGGATGTCACACATCCAGGACCGTTTGTGGCAGTGAAAGGATTGCAGATGGACACAGATTATCCAGCAAGACGGAATATGAAAACACCAGGTCTCGACCCCCACCCAAGCAAAGACATGCAGATATGGAGTCTGCTACTAATCAAAGTGACCGAGGTGTTCTGGGCTGCCCAGATGTCTCTCTTTGGAAGGAGGCACCAAGGGTATCTTACCTGGAAAAGCAGGAGAATGTGAAGGCGGCCACATTGGTATCCAAAAGTAGTCCAAACCTGTCTGAAATAGGTCCCCAACACAAAGATGGCAGAAATGTTTTTGCCCCACAAAGCTGTGGAAACTCAGGTTTTCCAGAAGAACTGATGGAGACCTTTGTTGACGCTCTTTCAAAACTGAGTGGACATTCAACTTCGCTTGAAGGCCAGAAAATCGAAGCGCCAGATGTCCAAACATTGAGCACAATGCCGCTGTTCCTAGAAGGTTCGGATAAAAGCGGCCAGGGTTCCATTGGGTTAGAAAGCGATACGTTCTTGTCCCTTCCTGGAACAGATGCTCCCAATGATTTTCTGTTGGAATCTAGTCAGGACTCACCCCTCTTGGAAAATGACCACCGGACATGTCCATGTGCCGACGGAGGAGAGGAGTGCAAGCTTCTCCCAGGACTGGGAACGAGAACTGTCGAGTCCTCCAAGGACTCACTGGAGTTGCCGGCGGAAACCCAACCTCAAGATTGCACGGTTGCACTTCCGCTGGAGTGTGGCCAAACCCAGCCCTCTGGACTCGTGAAGGAGGACCTATTGAGGTGGGACGGTTGCAAAACCCCATCTCGGCTAAATCCTCAAGCTGAACCCTACTTGCACACCTCCATCCCCAACTCCAACAAAGCCACGGTATCATTCGAAAGCCAGAAGAAGGAGTCCGCAAGCCTGGAGGGGCATCAGTGGCCGGGGGTCGAGCTGTCTGCTGGGGATAGGAGCATGGGAGTTTCTTCAGCGGAAGGGAAGAGCAGCGTATTCGAAGATGATTGCGGGACGGAACTCTTGCAGGAGGTAAGAGCACGGTGCCATTACTTGTTTCCGCGAGGCCGGCTTCATTTCATGTAATGACTTTATTTCGTCGACAGGGAGGCCTCGAGTTATGGCCACAATTGAGCCCCAAGTTCATGCTGCTAAGTGAAACATTTTGAGCTTGGCCCCATATTACGGCTTTTCTCGCCTTAGTTGTTAAGGGAATCATTGTGTTGGTTAAGGTAGTAACTCAATCACCTTTGGCGACCTTCAGACAAGCCAAATCAATGGGGAAGCCAGATTCATTTTACAACCCTGTTACTAACTTAACAACTGCAACGATTCTGTGATGACCCGGGGCATGGCACGAAGGCAACACACCCAGATAATCAGTAGGATTCCCTTTATTTGCCCCCCAACGTCCCGGTTACTCTCTGGCCTAGAGTAAAACTCTCCCATGAACCTACAACAGCCTCTGGCTGCAGATACTCCAGTCCAAGCGCTGTAAGCAGAATGACCGCAATCAATCACGCCAGCAGGGCAAGATGATGAGTCCAAAAATTCCAGCAAGGCACTTAATCACACAGAAGCACGGCAATAATTCACAGAAGCAGAAGGAATGTCAGGAATGCAGGCTAACACTCACAACACTCGATGAATTCAGCATTTGTTCCCGACACATGCCCCTCCCAACTGGCTCTCCTTTGAACTCCATCCCCAGGTGTGCCTTGTGAAGGGAATAGGGGCCCTTTCCTCTCCCGTAAGCCACGCAACCCACGTTGTTCCCATCTCCATTCCTGCATGCCCTAGGGTGAAGAAGGGGTGGGGCTGGGTCTTCCTCTGAACTCCCTCTCCCTTGTTCTACCACTCCCCTGCTCTGCCTAGCTGGACTTTGCCCTTCCCCAGTTTCCTCCACAGCCAAGGGAGTCACACTCCCGCTCCCTGTCAGCTTCCTTCATCTTCCTCCTCGGATACAGACTCCAATGGAGAGAGGGCATGACAGATTCACTTAACAACTGTGGCAGGAAAGGCTGTAAAATAGGGCAAAATTCACTTAACAAATGTCTCACTTAGCAACAGAAATTTGGGGCTTCATTATGGTTGTAAGTCGTAAGACTGCCGGTGCTTTGTATTTGTTTTTTTTGCAATTTTTTTGTGCGTACGTGTCAACTATTTACTGACTGACTTGACACACGGCAGTAAACCAGTAAACCATCATCTAACTCAAGGCCCGCAGGCTCAATCCGGCCTGCAGGTTGATTAGATCTGGCCCTCGCGGCCAACCTAGAATTATCAAAGGACCAGTCCGCAGTGCCTCTGCTGGCCAAAACGGGCCATGGGGGGAATCCTGCGAGGTCTCCCTTGGCCCATTTTCAGCCGGCAGAGTGGTGCAGGAGGCCGTGGAGGCCAACAACGGGCCGTGGGGAGGTGGGCGCAAGGCCCCCGTGTGGCTCATTTTCGACCAGCAGGGTGCCGCAGGAGGTGTCTGTCTCGTTCCCCTTTCTCTCGCCCCTGAGAACTACAATGCTGATCCGACCCTTGAAGAAATCAAGTCTGATACCCCTGGTCCATTGAACACACCAGCTTGGTTTCACACATGGGAAGTGAAATCCATGGTATTTTGTAAAGTACCTTTCTGATTTTTTTTATTTTATTTTATTTCTTTTATCATTTTATTTGTTTGTCGAGCATGTATTAGATAACAAATATAAGTGTAAACATGGTTATTAATACATGAAATGGATATGAATAAAAAGGAACATTAGGACAGGGACAGTAGGCACATTGGTGCGCTTATGCACGCCCCTTACAGACCTCTTTGGAATGGGGTGAGGTCAACAGTAGACAGTCTGAGGTTAAAGCGTTTGGGGTTGAGCACACTTGTTATTTTTTGTCCTTCTTCAATGGGAGTTTTGTTCTACGATAAGCATCGTTTGCAGCTATGTTATTTCCTGGTGAAAAAAAATATATATCAGGTTTTGGCTTAGCTTGAGCAGCCAGCTTGCTCTTTCTCACTGTGCTGTTCGACACTCGGCAGAGATTTTTTCCCACTCTGATCCTTTCTTTGGGAAGTGAAAAGTAACGCAAAACACTTAATACGCAAACATGATTCTGTCTTTCTTGATTCAAAAGATCCAGTTTTTTTTTTAATCCACTGCAGTTGAACAGCTTTTGATTGTTAATGAATAAACGAATCTTAAGAGGTTCAAGGCAATGTAACAACAATAACAAAACAACAGATATTTAAAGTCTTTAAGGAAAGCAGAACTATCTTAAGGAGCATTGTTGCTCTTTTAAATATTTTAAATAGAATAGAATTCTTTATTGGCCAAGTGTGATTGGACACATAAGGAATCTGTCTCCGGTGCATAAGCTCTCAGTTGTACATACAAAGAAGAAAGTGATAAATCATGATTATTTGAATACAATCACCATAAAACGTAAAATGCAACACTCAGTGATAGTCATAGGATACTAAATAAGCCGTCAAGATAAATCATAATAGGATGCAGTACTAAATAAAAGCAATCAATATAAATCATGAGATACAAACAACAAAGTTATACATTCTGTGTATTTGATTGTTATATAGTTTTTATATTTTCAGCTATGTTGTAGAGGTTTTACGGAAATTGCCAGTCAACCTCATCAGTAGAATTGGATGCCCGCAAAGCTATTTCTGGGCTTTTATCCTTTTTGTGGGATCGGAGAATTGCTCCGTGAACGTTAATTAGCAGGAATTTATTAGTCAGTAGATGGCCATGTGAGTTACAATTATAGACATTGAATTCCAACAGGGCACTTCAGCTGTTGCTTGAAATGTTAAAAAGCACATCCAGAATGACCGTTGCCTAGTTTTGCTGATTGTGGTTTGTGTTGATTCTTCCTGTAGAGAAGCGAAGATGTAAAAAGGCGGTTTGCTTTCATTTCTTTTGCTCTTTTTTCAGATCACAAATTATTTGACCATAAAAGACATAAGCATTGAGAAGATTCAGTTTGATTACTCCAGTTATGGGGAGGCACAGATCAACGAAGGAGATTTTGGCCATGTGCTAGAGATCTATGATTTTTCCCCATTGCTAAAAACAGAACATCTTATGGAGACCTTTGCAGATTTCCAGTAAGTGTTGATGTTACTTGTTCTGGGTCGTCCCAATAAGTAAAGGTAAAGGTTCCCCTTGCAAATACGTGCTAGTTGTTTCCGGCTCTAGGGGGTGGTGCTCATCTCCGTTGCAAAGCTGAAGAGCCAGCGCTGTCCGAAGACGTCTCCGTGGTCATGTGGCCGGCAGGACTAAATACCGAGGGCGCACGGAATGCTGTGACCTTCCCACCAAAGGGGTCCCTATTTTTCTACTTGCATTTTTTTACATGCTTTCGAACTGCTAGGTTGACAGAAGCTGGGACAAGTAACGGGAGCTCACTCCATTACGCAGTGCTAGGGATTCGAACCACTGAACTGCCGACCTTTCTGATCGACAAGCTCAGTGTCTTAGCCATTGAGCCACTGCGTCCTCAAACTTAGGACCAAAGCAGAACAGCCTTACCTGGAGGGGAAATGCATTGTAACTTTACAGAGTCTGTGGAGATTCTCTGTCATCCAGGTCATGGTTGTCCCAAAGGTGTTTTTTCAAAAGGCAACTTGGATTTTCTGGTTTTTTAAATTTTCTTCTCTATGCGCCTTATTCCAATTCTTATGAAAGCTGTCCTCTACGTAGTAAAGGATATGTAGCACTCCTATTGCAACTAGACTAAATTTTCATTGCTAATATGCATTGTTATATGGCATGATATGTTCAATTTGGTTAAAAAGAAAGGTAAAGAAGTCCATGCACATTTTACTCCACTAATGGTTGGCGGCAATGCTCATCTGTCTCAAGGCCATTGAGTCAACACTGTCCAAAGACGTTTTGCTTCTCATCCAATTCTGACGGAATGGTGGAGGATGGAGGGATTTACTGTATAGTCCTTGCAGTCATCTGGTCATCAGCATTCCTTCTGAGAGTTGTTGAGACTGCTTGGAGGCTTACCTGTGCCCTCAGGGTCACCTGAATAGTGCAAATGGGTATGGAGACTTCTTGGAGCGGCTGAAAGGGACTGTGTTGTAAGCGGGAGAGGGCTGTTGAGCGACAGCTGTTCAGTCTTAATGTAGATGGCCTCTTTGACCCCTCTTGTTCGGAAAGTCCATCCTTCACCATTCTGCCAGGACTGAAGAAGCTTCTTAGAGGAGAAGCGAAATGTTTTTCAAGGAAAAACAAAAGTCCAGTTGCCTTTTCAAAAAGCACCTTTGCAATAACTTTACAGAGATGTCAAAAAACATGCAACACTGGGCATTGCCGATAGCAGAATGGCTGACGTAGCGATAGCACTTAGATTTGTATACTTCACAGCCCTCTCTAAAGCGGTTACAGAGCCAGCCTCTTGCCCATGACAATTTGGATCTTCATTTTACTGACCTCAGAAGGATGGAAGGCTGAGTCAACCTCGAGGCAGTCAGGATCGAACCGCTGGCAGTTGTCAGAATTAATCTGCAATACTGCATTCTAGCCACCACGGCTCATGTAGCTGCTTCAAGACCCTCTTATAGCAATAGCACTTAGACTTATATACCGCTTTATAGTGCTTTCCAGCCCTCTCTAAGCGGTTTACAGAGTCAGCATATTGCCCCCAACAATTTGGGTCCTCATTTTACCCACCTCGGAAGGATGGGAGGCTGATGTTATGGTGTGCAGTGTAGCTGGGATTGTGCAGATTGATCACTGATTGACTCGACTAATTTTAATATTGGAGGCTATAAGTTTTGATCGCCACGATGTAAAAAAGATGTTGAGGCTCTAGAAAGAGTGCAGAGAAGAGCAACAAAAGAGGATGAGGGGACTGGAGGCTAAAACATATGATGAACAGTTACCGGAGCTGCGTATGTCTAGTTTAATGAAAAGAAGGACTAGGAGTTGCATGATAACAGCCTTCCAGTATCTGAGGGGCTGCCACAAAGAAGAGGGAGTCAAGCTGTCCTCCAAAGCATGTGAGGGCAGGACAAGAAGCCATGGGTGGAAACTAATCAATCTAGAGAAGCAATTTAGAACGAAGGAGAAATTTCCTGACAGTGGGAACAATTAATCAGTGGAACAACTTGCCTCTCCAACACTGGAAGTTTTTAAAAAGATGTTGGATAACCGTTTGTCTGAAGTGGTGTAGGGTTTCCTGCCTAGGCAGGGGGCTGGACTAGAAGACCTCCAAGGTCCCTTCCAACTCTGTTATTCTAAGCATCTATTGTGGGGAGAGAACCCTCAGCCCATTTGTATAATTCTAAGACAGCTCTTAATTTCACAAATCTAAATATTAGCCCTGACCACTGATCAGTACATGGGGCAGAACTGTGCAGTTTTGAACTTGGTTTGGAAGAGATCCTGTCTCTGTAGATTGATTCAGAGTGACTTTAAATAGTCGGTTTCACGGAAGCTAAACCTGCATGAGATCCAAAGCCCTTCTGAATCATTTTCAAAGTACGCACAATCTTTTACGTAACTCATTAATATTCAGTGTGTGGAGGGTGAAGGATGTGTGTTTGTGTTTATTTTCATAGTCATGATGTGCACTGAAGATGGTGTTTGATTTTGTTGTATGAGTTGCAATGACAATAAACTAAACTAAACTAAATTAAGCTAATAGGATGACTTTTTATGTTTCTACTACAAGGAGCCGTAATGGCACAGTGATTAGAATGCAGTATTGCAGGCAAACTCTGCCCACAGCCAGCAGTTCAATCCTGACCAAGGTTGACTCAGCTTTCCATCCTTCCGAGGTCAATGGAATGAGGAACCAGATTGTTGGGGGCAATTATGCTGATTCTGTAAACCACTTAGAGAGGGCTGTGAAGCCCTATGAAGTCCAAGTGCTATTGCTAATTAAAAAAAGATTATTTTTTTTCCAGTTTTGAGGCTGCCCAACTGGGGACAATTTATAATAAGATGAGTATGAAAAAGAAGCAATTATATCAAAGAACGAGAATACAACTAGAAGACTGATCCCTAATTTAAGAAAACCATAAGAAATATTTCATACTAAATGTATAAAACTGCTAAATCTATGCTAGGCATAGTCATGTGTGCAGCTAAATATAGTTGATTGATGTCCATTGCTGACCCTAAAGTGGTTAGCTTTACCTTAAAACAGCTCAGGATTGTTTGGAGCAAGTATGTTGTATGATGAACAACTTACCTGGGAGTCAAACTGCTCTTTTCTGAATTCTAAGGTAGAGATGAAATCCTAGACAAGCCCCATAAGAATTCTCTAGCACGTCTTTGTCCCTTTTTGAATTTTTTTAAAATAAGATTTTTAATTTATTTTTCCATTGCTTTTAAAAGAGTGACAAAAAAGAAATGGGACAAAAAAAGTGCAAATAAGGACATTGTCAAAGAAAAACACACACAGAGGCAGTGCTTTAAAAGAAAATAAACAGCAAAGGAAAAAGTATACTGTATCATTTTAATAGTAAACAAGGGCTGCATGGTGTGTTTAATATTTATGGAACAAATTTATAGAGCATTAATGAACATCAATGTTGCAACATTAGGCATGTTACAAGCGTTTGTTTACCTTTTTCCTTTGCATTAAAGAAAGAAAAAAAATGCTAGCTTTCTTGGAGATCGATGGAAAGATTGAAAAGATGATTGGTACACACCTGATCCAGTCATCTCGGAATAATAACAGAGTTAGAAGGGACATTGGAGGTCATCTAGTCCAGCTCCCTGCTCAGGCAAGAAACCCTATAAACCCTCTTGATCTCTGTAATTCAGAGACGTGGTTTACAATTCTCTGAATGGCAGAAGGGACAACTGAATCAGCTGCAAATCACAACTGGGGATTTACATTTCAACCCCTTAAGTGTTTTAAGAGCATACCAGTTGCCTTTCTTGAATTAGCACGGAAGTCTGACCAATGCTTCCCAAGCAGGTTAGGAAGAAAATTACAAAAATAGCGGCTAAGCTGAATTTGCTTCCTGTAGCTAGAACTAAAACCCCATTTTTAATAAGGTTGGACATTCTTGTTTCCAATCCTTCCTAACAGTCCTGTCTGAATGGGATCTAAGCATTTAAATAGAATGTAATTCTTTACTGGCCAAGTGTGATTGGACACACAAGGAATTTGTCTTGGTGCAAATGCTCCCAATGTACATAAAAGAAAAGATACATTCATCAAGAGTCAAGAATCATCAGGTACAACACTTAATAATAGTCATAGGGTACAATAAGAATAGAATAGAATAGAATAGAATAGAATAGAATAGAATAGAATAGAATAGAATAGAATAGAATAGAATAGAATATTGGAATGAAGAATAGAATAAGGAATAGAATAGAGAATAAAATAAGAAATAGAATAGAAAATAGAATAGAATAGAATAGAATAGAATAGAATAGAATAGAATAGAATAGAATAGAATAGAATAGAATAGAATCCTATATTGGCCAAGTGTGATTGGACACACAAGGAATTTGTCTTGGTACAGATGCTCCCAATGTACATAAAAGAAAAGATACATCTGTCAAGAGTCAAGAATCATCAGGTGCAACACTTAATAAGAGTCACAGGGTACAATAAGCAATTGAATCATACTAGGAAACAGTCAATATAAATCATAAGGATACAAGCGACAGAGTTGCAGTCATACAGCCTCCCTTTAGTCCTCACCGCATTATGCAATGACAGATTCACAAAGCTAATTATGCAGCTTATGCAGTCTTTTCTTTGATGGCAATTGGCGGAAAAATGGAGATTAAATAGAATACACATTCTTCAGGACACCTACTGTTCATCCCTTGATTAGAGCGATGCCTCTCTGAGCTGACAGATAATTGGAGGCCAAATCAAAGAGTTGAGCATGTTGCAGGCATAATATTTTCCCCTAATTAATACACATGAAGAGAAGCTGGCGAGATCTTGCTGGGAAATGCAGCACAGAGAAGAGAAAAGAAAAGAAAAGTAATAAGGTTTATTTTCCCCCCAGCTTTATCTGAACAAGGATGACCTTGGCCGTTCATCCATGCCTTGCTAGGATCCTTAGGAAAGATAATTTGTTGGTGATTGGTTTCTCAAAATTAATAAATGCATACGTTTCACTCCCGACATTTTTTTTCTGAGAGCTGAAGGCACTTTCTGTAGAGGTCTTATTCCCTAAACCATTGTAGGATAGATTGTTTAAGAAAGATTGACTTGGTCCAAAGTCAGCAAAGGAGTTCATTGGTCCAACGATGACTTGAATCTGATTCTCCCCCAGTCTAATAATAGCAATAGCACTTAGACTTATATGCCGCTTCACAGTACTTTACAGCTCTATACTAAGCAGTTTAAAGAGTCAGCCTATTGGCCCCCAACAATCTGGGTCCTCATTTTACCGACCTCGAAAGGATGGAAGGCTGAGTCAACCTGGAGCCGGTCAGGATCGAATTGCTGGCAGTGGGCAGAGTTAGCCTGCAATACCGCATTCTAACCATTGCGCCACCATGGCTCTAATCTTACCATCCAAGACTTGGAAGGCCTTTTTCAGTGCCCTTCCTCCACCAATCCGTGAGGGAAGATACAGAGACGTCTCAAACAGAGACGGCCCATGTGGTGCAGATGGACGGAATTGTTGGGACTTGTGATAGCACTTAGACGCGTTATAGTGCTTTACAGCCCCCCCAAACAGTTTGTAGAGTCAGCCTCTTGCCCCCAACAATCTGGTTCCTCATTTTACCCACCTGGGAAGGATGGGAGGCTGAGTCAGTCTTGAGCCTGGTGGGATTTGATCTGTCAAATTGAAGTAGGAGAAGCTTGCAGTTCTGCACTCTAAGCACTGTGCCACCAAGGCTCCATGTTATGCAAGCCAGATGTTATTGTTTCCGCTATTTCATGAATACCTTGGTCATTCTGATTTGTTTTCTCTTAAAATGCTATTATTGTCTCAATCTGACTCCACATCTCTGTCTGCAGTCAAGTATTGCCCAGCAGTCTCCTGCAGTCTAGAGCAGGGATGTCAAAACTCAAGGCCCATGGGCCTGATCCAACCCGCAGGGCGCTTAAATCTGGCTTGTGGGAGTGGCCTGGAAATAGCAAAGGATCGGCCTGCGGTGCCTCTGCTAGCGAAAATGGGAATGGGGGGGGGTGTCTGCGTGCAGCCCCCGTACCCCATTTTCAGCCTGGACAGCCTCCTGTAGCATCCTGCCAGCCAAAATGGGGCACCGGGGGTGGCTGCATGCGGTCTCCCGTGCCTCGTTTTGGCTGGCAAAGTGCCCAAATTTTTGGCCATCCAGGCCCAAAATATGGCATGGGGGAGCTGCACGTGCCCTCCTACGCCCCATTTTGGGTGCTGCAGGAGGCATCCGTCCCATCTCTCTCCTCCCACCTTCTCTGGCCGGTCAGCAGAAGAGAACTACAATACTGATCCGGCCCTTGAAGAAATCTAGTTTTGACACCCCTGGTCCAGAGCTTGGCTTCTAACTGGGCCCTCCAGATACTTTAGATATTCTGGAATATTTATATATGTTCGTTTCCCTCCTTTTGTACTTTGTTTTTTTTTAATTAACTGTGATTTCTGTATTCTCATGTGTTCCTATGACCGAATAAAGAATAACCTAGCCACGTGTTTCCCAACCTTGGTAACTTTGAGGTGTGTGGACATCCAACTCCCCAAATTCTCAGCAGTGGCCAAACTGGCTGTGGAATTCTGGGATTTGAAGTCCACAGGCCAGGAAGTGGACAAGGCTGGAAATATTAGTCTAACCGCACCATCAGGTGCCTCATGTCTGCTGAAATCGTACAACGACGGCTTTGCAAATTGGTCCCATGCCACCCCATTTTGAAACCCCCATATCCCTGAGTTCGGTGCTACTCTCTGCGTACAACCAACCCGGGGAGGGGGCCTTCTATCCTGCTTACTGGGCAGGAATGCAGAAAACGCTTGGAGGGATATGAAGGCGTGACATCTGCTTTTGCATGAAAACTTATTCCGGTGAAACTATGACATTTAAAGCATTGCAACTCTGATCTGTCTCTTTCAGAGAGGGTGGATTTAAGTTGCAGTGGGTTGATGACACTCATGCCCTTGGGATCTTTTCCAGTTTGGCAGCAGGTAATTTTTGTCTCTCTCTCTCTCTCTCTCTCTGTGTGTGTGTGTGTGTATGCGCGCGTGCACAAGTCTTGCTTTTCGTGCGTAAAATAAAGTATGCTGTTGCTTCCTCTTTAATGGGTGTTGGTTAGGGATGGGTGTCAGGATTCCGGCAGTTATCCGAAAGCTCATGGACACAGAGAGGCGATGGGCTGCCTGGGAAAAAAAGAAGCTTTCACAGTGAGATGGGCACTCCTAACCTGGTGCCACTTGCTAGAACGGGGACAGAGGTCGTTCAAAGTCTGGACCGACCATAAAAATCTGGAGGCGCTTCGGACCCCGTGAAAACCATCACCCAAACAAGGCCGCTGGGCTCAATATTTCAACCGATTCAATCTTCGTGCTAAAACACATCCCAGGGAGAAGGAACTTTCTGGCTGACGCCCTCTCCCATATTCCCCAGTACAAGTTCTCCCGGTTTGGACTGGTTTGGGTGAACCCCTTGTTCCAATGATCAGCTTACTCCGAACCGGTTCACTCGGACGAGCATGTGAGCCCACCCACTTCCCTCTTTCCTTTTTTTAGAGCACAGCTGATTTGCAGGGCAGAGCGGTTCGCTGTGCCTCAGCTGTTTTATTCACAGGGACTGGGGCAGAAGGTAAATATTAGAACTGAAAATGGGCTCTTTTTAAACGCGGACCACACACATGGACCGCCCGAAGTTCCCCGATCACCCAACTAGTTCTTGTATCGCTTGAATCACACCCACTGGTGTTGATGCCTTGTCCTCTCCTCTCCCTCTGCAAATTGGGTTGGAAGAACTTCATAAGCCATCATCACACACATCACGCTGCATTGGTAAGGCCACATTTGGAATACTATGCCCCGTTCTGGTCACCATGAAATAAAAAAAGATGTTGATACTCTAAACCAGAGGTGTCAAACTCAAAGCCCGCAGTCCAGGTCCGGCCTGCAGGGTGCCTAGGTCTGGCCCGTGGGGCCACCCTAGAAACAGCGAGGGACTGGCCCGTGGTGCCTCTGACCACAGGCTGCGAGCTCTGTTTTCGCTGGCAGAGGGCTGCAGGAGGCTGTCACAGCTGAAAATGGAGCCAGGGAGGGTGTTGTGGTTCGCCGGCAGCGGGTGCAGACGGCTGAGGTCTCGAAGAATGAGGACTTGGATGAGGGGCCTGCATGTTATGCAGGTATGGGGCTAGGACTATCGGAGAATGGGGTGCTGCCTTCAGAGCTTGTGGAGTCTGGCACCAGTGACGAAGAGGATCTGGGGTGCCTGTGCCCAGTGTGCGTGTGCGCAGGGCTGCTCGAAGGAAAGAGTAGCTGAAGCAGCAAACATGACTTGGGAGTAAGGCTGGGAGGTGATGGCTCCTCCCATAAGAGATAAAAGCCAGCCTTCGGGGTTGGCTTCTTTGCAGGAAGCAACTCCCAAGTTCTTGTGGAAGTCCTGTCTGTTTGGAGATTTTTGGTTTGGAATATTTCTCTACAGTTAATCTTGTATTCTTGGCTGCCTTTCGTAACTTTGAAATGTCTTGCTCTTATCTGGGACAATTAGTTTTAATGACTTTGCTGTGAATGAACAGAATTCACAAAGACACATTAAAAAGGTTTGCTTTTATACATGTGTTTGTTTTATTTGAACAAGGCTTGGGTCAAAACAGAGGTCCGCATGCACCCCGCTGAACTCCATTTTCACTGGCAAGTTGGTAGCAAAACAAAGTCCTAGCAAAAGTGGATCTCCCCAGCCCACAGGTGCCCCTGACATGAGTGACATGGAGTGGGCTACGCCCACCCTGGCCATGCCCTCCAAAGGTCAAATACAACCCTGATGCGGCCTTCAGTGAAATTGAGTTTGACACCTCTGCTCTAGAACAGACTTGTCAAACACAAGGCCCATGGGCCAGATCCTGGGCATCCTTGGGCTACTGTAGATGAATGCATGGACCCCGTCTTCAGGTCCCTGGGACAGGAAAAGGCCACACAATTTTATCACCCCCCCCTCCCCCCCCCAAGGCAACCTCTCATAAAGAGCTCTCTTTTGTGAGACCAACTCATGGAGCATTGAGCTCAAAAGTGTCAACTTATAAAATATTTCTATGGTCTTTTTAGAGTTGCCAACAGAAAGGGAGGGGGGAGCAGTGCAGCAGCTTTCAAACCGAAACTGCATTCCATAAATGTTTTCAAAGATAGTAAATAGGTGACTGAAAAATTCTAACAGGAGAACATGATTGATGACTCTTGGCTATGGATGTGTCCCAGTGGAGAATATAAATTACCATACACCCCGGGGGTGGAGGGAAGGCCAAGGGTGACAATGAATTGTGTGTCTCAGAGTCGGCTACACCCAGGCAATGCCGGACAGTTTAACTCCCAATAAATCCTTTCTGAGTTTTGGAAGTTTGGCTCGAGACTCACGATTTAAATGGGGGGGTCACTGCTGGAATCCTGACAGCTAGCCGAATCTGAGACACAAGTATCTGCTGTGAATCGGTGTCTCAAAGGATTCTCTCTCACTTTTTAGCATCTCAAGCCCTGGAACAGAACTATACCTCCGTCAAAATCCGGCCTCTGATCCATGGAACGAGACAGTCAAAAATCAAGGCACTTCAGCGTCCAAGTAAGATATGAAGCAAATTTGGCACGCCTCTTCCTAAAAGCTGTGGAGGACGACTTCTATGCAAAATGGAGGTGGACTTATGTCACTTTACTTCTAAATTCTAGCCTAGTCTTGCAATGACTTGCGAGCGCCAGGGAAATCCCTGGGGGCAAATAGGTGGGTGGGCCAAAGGAAGGACCAGTCTCTTTCTTCTTCCTTTGTTTGGCTTCTGTGCTGCTTTTCAAAGAAGGAAAGCACATTTTCCATCTCTTGTCATTTCTAGAAGGTGATGATTTAAAAATCGTTTTGCTAATAAATTCGTGCCTCTGCATTTGAGGTGCTGGCCTCACTGACACGTCACAGGTGGCCCAGAAACATAGATGGCTGATAAGCTTCTGAAAAGGCTAACGGTTTTTCTGGTTGTCTCGCATCTAGAATATTTAGAAAGTATGTAGGTCTAGTTTAGTTTAGAAAAACAGCTAAGTTGGGATTGGTTGAGAGTATCGATGATCATAATAATGAGTGGTGCGATGGCCAGGAGGTGGCGCTCTCGCCTCACAATCAGGAGGCTGTGAGTTCGATCCCAGGTAGAGGAAGATATTTCTTTCTCTGGGCACACCGAGAATTTTATCTGCTGAGCAAAACTCCGCATTGGTGACAAGAAGGGCATCCGGCCAGTAAACACTCAGCTCCATTCAGTTGCCCGGACTCCACCCCGCAAGGGATTATGATGATGATCGATGACCATAATAGGGTAAAGCTGCTGCACAAAAGCTACTGACCTTTAGCATCCTGGGAAACAGTCTTTACTGCTGCATAAATGGACAGTGCTAAAGTTTTGGATTCCTGGCCCTTGTTTTTGAAACCAGTGTCTGGAAGAAGGACTGCAGCTTACTATCAAGACTTGAAGAACTGTGCCTTGCTTTTTTGGTATATATTTATTGATAAGATATTGGAAGATATTGTAATAAAATAGATTAACAGAGTTGGAAGGAACCTGGTAGGTCATCTAGTCCAAGCAGGAGACCCTACACCAGTGGTGGTTAACCTTTTGGGGCTACTGTGCCCAAAATTGCTCGCGTGTTAGCGCACATGCACTCGTGTGCCAGCATCCAGAATGCAATGTGTCTCAGATTCGGCTAGCTGTCAGGATTCCAGCAGTTACCCCCCATTTAAATCATCTCGATCCAAACTTCCAAAACTCAGAAAGGATTTATTGGGAATTAAGCTGTCTGGCGTTGCCTGGGTGTAGCCGACTCTGAGACACATCATTCATTGTCACCCTTGGCAGTTTTTCATTCAGTTGTTCGTTTCCTGAGAAGCCTCAGCTAGTATAATCTCTGCTGGGCCCTTTGTGTCTCGGAGTCGGCTACACCCAGGCTAGTTGCTTCTCACTGGACGTAGCCTATTACAGGACAAAGTACTAAAGCTTTCTTCTACAGGAGAAAGTACTAAAACTGTCCCCACCTTTAGTGGGGCAGAAATTCTAACGTCGGTTAACTGTTGGGATGATTTGAGAGAGGTAAGAAGCCGTGGTGAGGCTTCTCTGAGTTGAATACAAGAGTAGATTGTTAACAGAGGGTCTTGAAATTTTAAATCTTGTCGTTTGTTGTTGTTGTTGTGCTACCGATGCATTTTTCCTGCTATTAATATAGTAGATGGATGACAGGTTCATAATTTGCAGAGTCAGAAGTTCAAAAATTTCGGGCCTGTTTGGCAAGTGGTGGGAAACAGACCCTGTGGCAGTATATTTATTAATATTGAACTAGAGAGGCTAGTACAGGCAGTCCTCAACTTACAACCACCATCGAGCCCCAAATTCTTGTTGCTAAGTGAGACATTCGTTAAGTGAGTTTTGCCCCGTTTTACGACCTTCCTTGGCACACTCATTAAGTGAATTGGCAGCAATTGCTAAGTTGGTAACATGGCTGTTAAGAGACTCTGACTTTCCCGTCGACTTGTCTTGTCTGGCGGTCGCAAAAGGGGACAGTGTGACCTCAGGATGCGGCAACGGTCATAATTGCATGCCCGTAGCCAAGGGTCTGGATCTTGGTCATGTGACCACGGGGAAGCTGCAACGGATGTTAAGTGTGAAAAACGATCCTTTTTTTCAGTGCTGTTTGTCTGTAAGTTTGAACAGTTATTAAATGAACTGTTCCAAGTCAAGGACTGCCTGTATGTGACTAGAATAGAATAGGGAATAGAATAGGGAAGGGAAGAGACAGAATAGGAAGAGGAAGAGGAAGAGGAAGAGAACAAAATTAGAAGAGATAGGAATAGGAATAGGAGGAGAGGAGAGGAGAGGAGAGGAGAGGAGAGGAGAGGAGAGGAGAAGAGAAGAGAAGAGAAGAGAAGAGAAGAGAAGAGAAGAGAAGAGAAGAGAAGAGAAGAGAAGAGAAGAGAAGAGAAGAGAAGAGGAATAGGAATAGGAATAGGAATAGAAGAGATGGAATAGGAATAGAACAAAACTAGAAGAGAAGAGAAAGGAATAGGAATAGAATAGAATTAGAATAAGAGTAAGGGTAAGAGTAAGAGTAAGAATAGAAGAGTTGGAAGGGACCTCGGAGGTCTTCTAGTCCAACCCCCTGCTTAGGCAGGATACTCTACACACTTCAGACAAATGGTTATCCAGCATCTTTTTAAACGTATGTGTGTGTGTGTGTGTGTGTGTTAGTTAAAGCACATTTTTAATGTGTTTGTTTTCTTTGTTTATTTTGGTAAATAAACCCCTTTTTTGGAATTTTGTATTTTAACTTTTTTAGAATGATAGATAGATAGATGATAGATAGATAGATAGATAGATAGATAGATAGATAGATAGATAGATAGATAGATAGATGATAGATAGATAGATAGATAGATAGATAGATAGATAGATAGAAATTCTAACATCAAAATCTTCTGTACATTTAGATTAGATCTGATCTACTTGATGAAATCAAATGATTTGTAGCTTCGGGCCCATTGGGCCAGGCTTCATAAGGCTCCTTCTCCAATTCTTTCCCAATTCTTCTATTCCTTCCCTGCCAATTCTCTCTCTCTTTTTTTTCCTTCCTCAGAGCTCCTTCAGTTGGCTAAAGAAAGACCCCAGACAGATACAGCAGTTGCCAGACGACTAGTAACCAGAGCCTTAGGATTACAGCGCAAATATCAGCAGAACTCAGGCTGCCAAGGATTGGAATCGGCAGCCACCAACCTGCCAGATTAAAAACCAGAGAGTGGTTTGAAGTGACTTTGGGGTGGCATTAAAACAATGTATACAACCGTGTGATGACGGCAGGGTCTCCTCTGTTCTTTTGGGTTGTGTTGTTGTTGTTGTTGTTGTTTTGGAGTAGCGACAGGCCGGTGGCAATAATCACAACTTTATATGTGTTAGAACTGGCAGAGTTGGTTTGAGTTCATCCGTGGGGATTGATGAATGGGACAGAGGCTGATCCAGGGAAGGTCCCACTGGAGGGCACTGCAGCCCTTAAAGAGAAGAGCTTCGCCTGCCAACTCAAAGTATTACCAGAAACAACTTGATTGAACACCTTTCGTTAGCATGGGAAGGGATAGGGCTGATTCGTTTTTGAAAACCTGTTTTTGAAACCGTTCTGCAAAAAGTTGGCTGGGAAAACTGGCATCTCGTTGCCGTCAAGAGACAGAATTAAAATTCTTTCAACTAGTATCAAATGTTCTCCGTTCCTCCTCGTGCCTTTTGTCTGTTTGACACCCCGCCCCCCCCCAAACCTGCTGTCCCTTTCAAAGCTCGGGTTACTCTCAGGTTACAAGTTGGAGACAGGAGAAGAATTCCTTGGCCGGGAAGAACGCACCGTAGCTTTTGATCAATCGGTCAAAATCAGTTGCTCTGGTTTCATAACCCACAGAACTTCTGTGGATGCCTTTGCCCAGTTCCAGCGCCCGAAGACATTTGAGAAATAACACGTTGGGATTCTGGCAGGTGGAGTTTTGGATTCCCCCAAGAGGTTCTTCAAGCAGAGATAGGTTTTTTTTTTCCCCAGGGAGGGTTTCTGCAGCTACTGCTTGACTTCAGAAGGGTGCGACATTAGCCTCTCGGTGCCCTCCGAAAGCACATTCTTGGAATTGAAAGTGTCACACAGCACCAGGAGGTGGTAGCTTTCCACTTTTGGGGAAAGCTATAGGAAAAAAATAGGGAGGACTGAAATGTAATTAGTGCCCTCTTGCCATAACTCTCCTAGGAACTACGTAATGGCTTAGATCAGGGGTATCAAACTCGATTCCAGTGAGGGCCGCATCAGGGTTATGTTTGACCTTGAGGGCTGGGGTGGGTGTGGCCATGTAGGTGTGGTCAGGGTGGACATGGTTAGCTCAATGCCACTTGTGTTGGGCATCTGTGGTGGCCAAATGCTGAGGCACAACTTTCTTCAGACCCTCACTCTCATATCCTTCTTTCCTTCCCTCCTTCCTTCCTTTTCTGCTTTTCCCTTCCCTCTTAATTCTCCTTCCTTCCCCTCTTTCCTTATTTTTCCTTCCTTGCTCTCTTCCCATCCTTCCTTCCTTCTTCTTTCCTCTTTCCCTTTCTCCTTTCCTGTCCGCTCTTGCATACTCAAATGCAAAAGGGGAAACCTTTCTCCTTTCATTTTCTTTTTAGTTTGTTTTGCTAGCGCTCTGCCTGCAAAAAACGGAGCTTGGCATGTTGTGCGTGTGGGCCCCCAGGCCCCATTTTCAGTTACGGCAGATTCCTGTAGCCCCCTGCTGGCAAAAATGAGGCTGGTGGGGGGGCCCTCTGAGGTCCGTTTTCGCTGGCAGAGGCACTATGGTCCAGTCTTTTGCTGTTTTCAGGGCAGTCTCATGGGCCAGAAAGAAGGAAGAAAAGGGAGGGGGAAGGAAGGAAGGAAGGAAAGCAGAGGAAGGGAGAAAGGAATGGACGGAGGAGGAAGGAAGAGAGGGAGGAAGGAAGAAAGGAAGGGAAGGAAGGAAGGAA